CTGTAAAGTGAGAAAGGAAGAATTCGGAAATGGTGAAACTCGGCTTGTCTTTCTGGAGGACAAGAGCAGTCTGTGTTGTTGTTTATGTTGTGTGGCTGTCCCTTGACAGCGTTAATGGCGGCTACGTGAAGTACGGCACCGAAGGTAGAGTTGTGCCGGGGAAACTCAATGTTCATCTTGTTCCGCATTCTCATGACGATGTCGGCTGGTTGAAAACCGTTGATCAGTACTTTGTCGGCTCAAACAACACTATCCAGGTATACATGAGTCTACGTGTGGTGTGGAGACTATATAATATCTATCCTCAAAATGTTGTTTTAATATACCGTGTGATTTTCAGAGCGCTTGCGTGAGGAACGTGCTGGACTCGGTGGTGGATTCCCTGAGTCGCGATCCCAATAGAAAGTTTGTGTTCGCTGAAATGGTGAAACATTGCTTCCATTTTGATCATAAACCATGTGTTTCTCTGAGTATGTGACTATATATGTCTATGAAAAATTAGGCTTTCTTTACGCGTTGGTGGGAAGAACAAAGCCCGGAGAGACAAGAACAAGTGAGGAGCCTTGTGAAATCCGGACAGCTTGAGTTTGTGTAAGTTGTTTTGCTCACAACATTAATTTGATCATTAATTCTGGAGGATCACACACAGAATCAATTGTGAATGGTGTGTAGAAATGGAGGATGGAGTATGCACGACGAAGCAACGTGCCATTACATAGACATGATCGACCAGACAACAATGGGTCATCGCTTTATAAAGAAGCATTTCAATACAACTCCTCGTGCTGCTTGGCAAATCGACCCCTTTGGTCATTCCTCCGTCCAAGCTTACCTCCTCGGAACAGAGGTCCTTTTACTCTTTTTTCCACAACAAACTACATATACGAATCTTGAAAGAAAGAAAAAACCAACTTTATGTTTTTTTTTTCTTGTCTTTGGTGGGTGCAGTTAGGATTGGATTCTGTGCATTTCGCGAGAATCGATTACCAAGACAGAGAAAAGCGAAAGGCCGAGAAATCCCTCGAATTCCTCTGGAGAGGATCCAAAACTTTAGCTTCTTCTTCTCAGATATTCACCAATGTCTTCCTCGTTCATTATGGCCCACCCACTGGCTTTCACTACGAAGTCGGCGAGGATTATGTTCCCCTACAGGACGATCCTCGTTTCGATGGCTATAACATTAAGGAGATGGTTGATAACTTCGTCAATGCTTCTCTGGTTTATGTAAGTCTGATGCTTGTGGTAGTTTTAAATGTTGGGTTCTGAAAGTAGTGATCTGATGGGGATATATAAATAGGCCAATGTGACTCGAGGGAACCATGTCATGTGGACAATGGGTGATGATTTTCAGTACCAGTTCGCCGAGTCTTGGTTCAGACAGATGGACAGACTGATCCATTATGTTAACAAGGTTTTTCTTGCTCAATCTCACTGTCTTTGGACTAGTCTTGATTCTCCCACATTCCTTTCAACATTAATTCTCACAGGACGGCCGTGTCAACGCCTTGTACTCCACACCATCTCTCTATGTTGATGCAAAGAATGATGCCAACCTCACTTGGCCTCTCAAGACTGATGACTTTTTCCCGTGAGTGAGACTTCATTCTAACCACATTCCTTCCTAGGTTTCTTTATTTATGCTTTCTCTACTCTTGTAGATATGCAGATCGGGAAAACGCCTACTGGACTGGCTACTTCACCAGCCGCCCTGCTGTTAAACGTTACGTTCGGGCTCTTAGCGGATACTACTTGGTATCAAACTGGATCCAAGTCTCTGATTTTCAGTACAAACACTAACATACAGCGTTGCATAATTGTCTTTTTTTCAAAACAGGCTGCAAGGCAACTTGAGTTTTTGGTGGGCAAGAAGTCTAGAGGTCCAAACACTTGCAGCCTTGGGGATGCTTTAGGAATAGCACAACACCATGATGCTGTCACTGGAACTGCCAAGCAGCATGTAACAAATGATTACATCAAACGCCTAGCCGTTGGCGCTTCTGAGGTAATTAAGATACATGAAAACTCTTGTCTTTTTTATTTTTGCTCACCATTTTTATGACTAATTGATTCAATCCTACATTCCAACAGGCAGAAGCTGTGGTGAATTCTGCGTTGGCAGGCTTATTGAACAAGGCACACACAGAGGCCTTCAGCCAGGTTATATATCCTACAAACTCGTTTCGGTTTTCATTTTTCGATACAATAGTTAGAGACCCATTTTCATGATGATGATGTGGGATATAATGAGTGGTTAACTTTCCTCTTGGAGTTTAGAGAAAAAATTATTGTCTATCTCTAGTAGTAACCTGGTCTATTATACCTTCTCATGGAATGAAATGAGCAGTGCTCGTTGATGAATATCAGCTATTGCCCAATTACAGAAGAAACCATTTCAGGCCAGAAGAGCTTGGTAATTCCATCACATCTCTTAGGAAACCTTAAGATATATAGCTCAGGCTTCAACTCTCTCAATGTTTGATTATGATTCAGATTCTGGTGGCATATAATTCCCTTGGATGGAATCGTACAGAAATCATCAGGATACCGGTTTGATTTCATGGTCTTTTTACATTTTTTTTAATCTAGCTTTCTTGCTCCTTTGAGGTCAATGGAGACTCACAATTGCTCTGTTTTACTAAGAGTCGGAGTATGTACCAGGTCAATGATGCAGGTCTAAGCGTGGAAGACTCATCTGGAAACACCCTTGATGCTCAGTACATTCCCATGGATAATGTCACGAGCAAGCTGAGAAGTAACTATACAGAAGCTTATTTGGGGATATCTTCACTGCAGATTCCAAAGTATTGGCTCGTGTTTAAAGGAACAGTGCCGCCACTTGGTTGGAACACATTCTTCATATCTAAAACAAGCGGGGAAGGTATGGAGAGAAATGGTCACGCTTAGCTGTACAAATCGGATACAAAGTTACACACGCTCATGATTCTCTATTCTATAGGAAGCAATAAACACAAAGACTCTTCAGTGATACACAGTCCAAGGAGCAAGATGACTGATATTGGTCCAGGAAATCTAAAGATGGTGTTTTCTTCAGACTCTGGTCTTCTCAACCGGATGTATAACTCCAGAACAGGAGTAAAGTTTCGTTTACACACTGAAAAATCTTGGAATATTAATTTGGGGAATATGGTTACACACTTGTTTCTAATAATATCTTTCAGGCTGACATAGTGGTGGATCAGAACTATTTTTGGTATGCTTCAAATACAGGGGATGCAAATAATACCCAGGTTTCCGGTGCATATATTTTTCGACCAAATAGTTCCTTGGCGTATGCTGTTTCATACAAAGTGAGTCTATGAATCAGTACCTATTGATATATATATATATTTAGATCATAAATGGATACTGTTCTATGATAAAGATGTAGGAAGAGTATAATAGTCTTTGTATAATATATAATACGTCAAAGTACCTTTTTGGACCATGACTGATGCTATCATTGAAATGCGCAGCCAAAGTTGCAGATTGTGAGAGGGCCTTTGGTGGATGAGGTGCACCAGCAATTTAGTCCATGGGTGTCACAGGTAAGTCACGTTTTGTGTTCATTCTAGTGCTATATTCATAGTTGTTGATGCATATTTGTTATGTAGGTGGTAAGACTGTACAAAGACAAAGAGCACGCCGAGTTTGAGTACACTGTGAGTGTTCTCCAAAAATCCAGTTCATGTTCTTTGGATATAAAGATCCTTGTTCATTCTCGTTTTCTTTAGCAGATTGGTCCAATTCCTGTTGGTCTCAAAGGAAAAGAGATTATCACGCGGATGGTAACAAATATGACTACGGATAAGGTGTTCTATACTGACTCTAACGGAAGAGACTTTCTGAAACGGGTACCAAAATCTCCTATATTGTCATATTTCAAACACCAATGCAAATCTGGTACGCCAACTTTGTATCTTAGAATAGAATGCATACTCTA